AAAGCCGGAAAGAATCCTCCCGAAAGAAGGGTAGTCACGTGTCAGCCTTCAGCGGCTGGTGAAACAGGCATCCTGGATGGTGTGCCAAAGCTCGCATTGCTGATAGCAATGCGCACAGATGGAGGCCAGGTAATTTGAATCATTCACACCGTTCGTACGAGTCAGAATCGTGTTGGGGAGAGGCTGCTGTCCGGGAAACGCGATGCCGCGTCGTCCGCGCGACATGTTCGCGTTGCTGAGGAGCGGTCGTTCCGGCCGACGCTTGGGGCAGTCGCTCGGAGCAGTCGCTTCTCTGTGCTCTGGTTGTATCACCGCGGAAGCGCGTTTGATCGTGTTAAACGAGCGTAGATCCGACTGAAAATAGAAGTCTGGAAAATTGCGTGCCTGGCAGGGCTTGCAATAGTGGTGTGTTTACTTTGCGAAGCAAGAATGAGAAGCACTGTAGGTCAGCTTCTCAGATAGCGCCGGAATTGCTAGTGAACGTAATTCGAGTTTTCGGGCAGGAGAGAAGTAAATGTGTAGTCAGTTTTCGGTGGAATCACATATAGCGTCAGCATGTGCAGGAAAGTAGATGATTGATGATCATAGTTTCATTGGTTTATTGCCTGGTAAGTTTAGTGGCACGTGCTAGCAGACGCGATCGAGTATGTCTGATCAAGCATCACGGCGTAGGCATCATAATAATATAGTACATGTCAAATAGAGTCACTTCCGGTGATCGATCCGATCCCACCACCAACGCCGATTCGCCGTAGAAAGAACCCACATCGAAAACCGTAAATCAATACAGCCGAAATGAAAACCGATTTGTGTTTTGTTGCCGTAAGGAAAATGGGAAGGAAGAGAAAAGAAGAGGTGAGACGCGTCACATCTCCATCATGTCGGTGTCTGCAGTCGCCATAGGAATGTCGGCCACTGGTTGAGGGGTGGGTGTAGTAGCGGGTTCCGATGGCGTCAGTTGACGGGCGTTGATGCGCTCGCCCTCGACACGCGGGGTTGAACCGAACATGAGGTTGCTGACTGTGCGTTCCAACGACCAGCCGATGAGCTGACACCATTGAAGGTTGTCCGAGAAGAGCCAGTAGCCTTGTACGCCGTGTTGTTTCGCGCGTACCAGATAAGCGTTGAGTGATTCCTTCTCCAGCATAACAAGGACGTCGGTGAAATCGAAATGACGCTCAATGACGCGCGAGTATGCGCGCGCTGCGTCGCGTAGGTTGGGGTTTGTCATGACGTTCTTCCAGCCAACCCCGAGGGATGCGATGAGCGTGTTGATGGTGTTGCCTTTGTCGTCAATGAGCTCTTCGGTCTTTTGAGCATCCATGTCATTGAGGGAGGGGACTTCGATGTTGGCGGTTGGGCTCATCCGTACCGACTTGCGCGACACAGCGATAGGGCGGGCAGCGTCAGCCTTCTCTTCTTTCTCGATCTTCTCTTCGTACCAGGTGCCCGATTGCGACTCGGCTGCCATGGTGTAACCAGGTTCTCCAGGGTAGATGAGCGTCATCCCTGGGCCATAGACAGGCTCGGGCTTGGGCTTTGAAGGCGACTGAGTAACGATTGATCCGGCGGGTAGGTTCTCCTCTGGTTCATCGACGTCGGCGATGGATCGTTTGCGACCAGCGGTGGCATTAGAAACGGCGGCTAAATAGTTGAGCGAAGGCGGAGTAGGGTATTTGGGGCGGAAATTACCCATTGGTGATGCGGCGTTCTGGTGATGGGAGAAGTAGCCCTGCGGTTGCTGGGGCGCCAGAACGACGGTCGGCGCAGAAGCGTAGTAGTTAAGACCCATGCTGTGTGTTTAGTAGTTTAGTAACAATAGAGTGTGTGAAGGATACAAAGATCTGTCGTGGTCAAGACAAGACAGTGAGCATGCGACGTTCTGATGAAGTCACTAGGAGGGACAGCGATGGGGTAAGATGATGGCGAGATGGTGAGGCGCGATGGAGATGATGGGTGATGGATGTGGTGATGGGGGTGGTAAGATGAAGAAAACCGATCGAGGTGTGGGAATGTTCAAGTTAAAGAACAGAAGAAAGGCTGTGTGCGGAAGTTTGGCGCAAAAAGAAGTGAGAGGAAGGAAGGAAGGTTTGCAGGGCACCACAGCCGTCTTGTAAGCTGCGCGCAAGTCCCGTGAGAGGCTGGCTGCGACGCGGTGAACGGCGGCAGAATGTAGGGTAAAATAGTCTGGCGAGAGATCTCCAGGGCAAGTCTAGCGCGTATTGGCCGTCACGCGAGGTCTGGCTACCGCATGCGGCAGGCGCCAAGGCGCTGTGTAAGGCAGGGACGACCAGGGTGTAGGTGGAAGTTGCCGTCGATCGAGCTGAGGAGCATGACTCAGCATTGGTGGGAGAGAGTGGCTCAACTGTGGCTAGTGACCGGTCGCAGATAATCCGCGCCGGGATAGTGGCGGCGCTGCGACGCGGTTTTTGGTAGCAAAAGTTAGTGGAGGAGCTGCAAGGCACCAGACGCAAGATACCCCACGCAACTCTGTTTTCGACCCCCTCTTCCTTGTACACCGTGCTTTGAGACGCCTTCCTTCAAGATGCAGGCGCCAGTGGTTGTTATGAGTATGTTTAGCCACCGATCTGAAGCTGCGGCAGCCCACTAACACATGAACAGACACCCAGACCCCGGGCGGGGAGCGCCAGTTTGGCCGCAAAGCTCAACTATCCAACATCACAGCAGCTAAGACTGTCGCCGACATTATCAGATCATGCCTCGGTCCCAAGGCCATGTTGAAGATGCTGCTCGATCCCATGGGCGGTATCGTCCTCACCAACGACGGCCACGCTATCCTCCGAGAAATCGAAGTCGCACATCCAGCTGCCAAGAGCATGATTGAGTTGAGCAGGACACAAGACGAGGAGGTCGGCGATGGCACAACCACCGTCATCATATTAGGTGCGTACAAAGTGTGGGGGAGAGAGAAGAGGCATGGATTAACAATCAACAGCGGGAGAAATCCTCGCACAAGCTCTGCCCCAGCTTGAGCGCAACATCCACCCCGTCGTCATTATCCAAGCGTTCAAGAAGGCACTCGCCGATGCTCTCGAAATCATCAGCGAGATCGCGGTCGAAGTCGACGTCAACAACGACGAGCAGATGTACAAGATCATTAGCTCTTCGATCGGCACAAAGTTCGTAACGCGGTGGTCGGAACTCATGTGCGGACTGGCTTTGAAGGCGGTGCGGACCGTTTCCCTCGACATTGGCTCTGGCAAGAAGGAGGTCGACATCAAGCGCTACGCACGTATCGAGAAGATCCCCGGAGGTGAGATCGAGGACAGCGAAGTTCTAGACGGAGTCATGGTCAACAAGGACATTACACACCCCAAGATGAGGCGGAGAATCGAGAACCCCAAGGTTTTGCTGTTGGACTGCACACTAGAATACAAGAAGGGAGAGAGTCAGACAAACATTGAGGTTAGCAAAGAGGAGGACTGGAACAGGATCCTTCAAATCGAAGAGGAGCAAGTCAAGCAAATGTGCGATGCCATCATCGCTCTCAAGCCCGATCTTGTCATTACCGAGAAGGGCGTCAGCGGTAAGTCACGCTGGTCATGCTTTGTTGCAATCATGCTAACATGAATTAGATCTCGCACAGCACTACCTCGTCAAAGCCGACATCACCGCCATCCGCCGAGTTCGTAAGACCGACAACAACCGTATCGCCCGTGCGACAGGTGCGACAATCGTAAACTCCGTATTCTCCGCCACCGCTTCGGACATTGGTACAGAGTGTGGTCTTTTCGAGATCTCTAAGATCGGTGACGAATACTTTACCTTCCTCACAAAGTGCAAGAACCCGAAGGCATGCACCATCCTCCTCCGTGGACCCTCAAAAGACATCCTGAACGAGATTGAGCGGAATCTACACGACGCCATGGGTGTTGCCAGGAACGTTATCTGGAACCCTAAGCTCTGCCCCGGTGGTGGTGCAACTGAGATGGCCGTCGCGGTTGGTCTGGGCCAGCGTGGCAAGTTGATTGAGGGTGTCGCACAGTGGCCATACAAGGCCGTCGCCGAAGCCATGGAGGTCATCCCACGCACGCTCATTCAGAACTCAGGAAACAGCCCGATCAAGGTGCTTACCCAACTGCGCGCGAAGCACGCAGAGGGTTACGAAGACGGCAAGCACGGTGGCAGCACATGGGGTATCGACGGTGATGCAGGAAAGGTTGTCGACATGAAGTCATACAACGTATGGGAGCCTCTAGCGGTCAAGGAACAGAGTGTCAAGACTGCTGTTGAGAGCGCTTGCCTACTGCTCAGGGTTGACGATATCGTCGCTGCGAAGTCGGCCAAGCAAGTGAGCGGCCCGATCGGCGGTGGTGATGATTAGATGTAGTCATGGAGGCACGTTCTGCGAATCCCTGCTATATAAATCAGGAGCAGTCGCTATGGAAATAAAATAATCACACCTGCCGTCCATATGATGGCCCTAAACACATTCTCAATGTGAAAGTATAACAAACAGCTACAAAGGTTGATGAAATTCGCTCATGGTATACACAAGCGGAACTCGGCACTTCTCTGAAAATGGGCATTTATTGCTAACAATTTTGAGAAAATGTTTTGAACCCTCCAGTAATCTTCAATTCGTATAATAGTAATGTTGAGCCGCTTCAAGATTGGACGGCATAGACGATCCTGGCCTCTCCGGGCTGAGTGCGTCATGACTACCAGTAAAACCAGGCGCTGCGACGACATTGGAATACAAGATGCTAGATACTGGTATCGAAACGAGAGGTCTTTCCATACACCGAGACAAGCTCACCGCCGAGATCGCATTATCACATGTCGTGTTTGGGAGGGCTGCAGCTTCTCTCACTCGTGCCTGCCTTCACCTTATATTTGACCCAAACAAAACACATACATTAATAGTCTCCATTGAGACACCACAAGCTGGTCCTCGCATCTGTACAAAGACTCTCGTTATGATCATCTCAGCTTCAATCTTATCACAACTCACTCGTCTACAACACCAGTAGCTCACAATGGGAGGCCGCCGCAATATGCACGCCTACAATCAAGACGAGATCCACAGGTACGTGCAACCGATCTCAGTGGGCGATGATTGTTATCGTCACATAGACGTTGTAACTGCTCACTGACATTTGCATCTTGACGGATCCGCTGCTGACTACTCTCACAGGCTCAAGGGCATCCCGCTCCCCATCAAGATCAAATGCGGTCGGTGTCAGAAGAACCTCCCACAAGCCAAGTACTCTACCAAGCAGCTCACCGATGCGCGTTGGAAAATCAAGAACTCGGCCAAGATTTACAAGGCTATCAACTGTCAGGCATGCACTGGGCAGCAGAAGGTCGAGGTCGAGTGCACCATGTGCGGTAAAACTAAAGGCCTGGAAGAGTTTGCCAAATCGCAGCGTGCAAAGCCCGATACTGCCAAATGCTTCAAGTGTATCGAAGCTCAGCTTGCGGACGAAGCCGTCGACGAAGACCGCTATGAGAACTTGGAGAACGCTTTCCTTCCGGCGGACCACTCTAACGGCCAGTATCCTGAGTATTTCTCCTCGGCCACAACTGACACTTCTTCCAACTACGTGAGTTCTCGCATGACCTATATGCGGCATCGGCAGGTGCCGCTACATGGTGGCTTTTGTACTGACTTCCAAAGGGTGACGATGAATGGCAGACCGTCAATGGTGGAGATCGGCGCCCTAAACACAAAGACATGGTAGACAGAGGTATCGCATTGTCGGCTGACTTTCAAAAGGCTATGTCCATGACTGGCTCAGCGGACGAGAGCCTGATTGAGACCGAGTACACATACGCTGCTGCCGCTGGTCATGGAAAGGGCAACAGCGACGGCGGCTGGAGCGAACAACGCACCAAATCATGGCACACCAAGTCCAATGCAGCTCCCAGCACGAGCTCTGGCTTCAACCCTAATGCTTACCGTCGTCCCGCTTCTTCAGTCACCGGTTCTGCTCACTCCTTCGCTTCCAGCGTAGCTGAATACTCCGATACTTCCGATGTTCGTCCCAATGGATGGGCTAAGATCCGTGCTGCTCCTCGCGGCCCTCCTATGGTATGTTTGTCTCAATAGCGCGATATGAAGGAATCCCATCCTACGAACACGAATAACCTTGGTGCGTAGCCAACACCCATGCTGACCGTATTATAGATGCCTATGGGTGACATTGCTCGACAGACTGGCTCTGACCTTGGTGCTTGGGATTCTGATGACGATGAAGAGGAGAATGATGAAGATGACGATGACAGTGATGACGATACTATCATCTAGTTAAGTAATTCCCTTGTGTGAACAGGGAAGCTAGAGATGAAGGATATAAAATCAAGCAAGCGGCCGGATTCGGCAAGGTTTGGGACTTTGGGAATGAATAGGCGTGGGGGATTTATTTTGTTTCACTGGAATAACTTGCGACCATATGGCTGGGGAGTTTCCTAATGGTGATTGACGGGGCCTTCATAATGTTACAAAAAGCTCAAATTTTCAATCGATGGCGTTACAATTAGCCCCATACCTGCGAGGGTGAGAGTGAGAGACTTGTCAGGGGTAGACTAATCCGGAACAAGCAACCAATTGCCACCACGTGACTGCGCGACTGCGGATGCCCGGACCCCGACGCGCCTTCCTATCGATGTCTCACCCCACTCACCCCAAGCAGACTCAATCAGCACAACTGTTCCTCCGCAAACTTTTCGATCAATTTGCTCTGTTGAAAATCGCAAATCTAACAGGATAAGAATACAGAAATCATGTAAGTCAAGTTTAGGAATTTAAGTGAGCGAGCGCGCAATACTGACGAGTGGCGACAGGACCGGACGACGACCTAGAGGCGCAGGCAGAGGTGCAGGTATTCGAGGGCCACATTCTGCGCTGACAGACTTTCTGGCGGTGAGTAACTCATATCCTTGCGAACAGGCTATACAGCATCTGCGCTTTGCGATATCAAGGTCGAAGGCCGCTGGGTCAGCGCAATAGCGGTGGCGCAAACTTCATGTCAGATGGTACTTGGAAGGGATATTTGCTAATCAGAAAATTCCAGGCGAACAACATTTCCGCCGCAGAGATCCGTGACTCGTACCAACAACGTGTTCGACAAGCAGAGCAAGACGCTGGAGAAGCAGAAGACAACGGCGAAGGACCGTCGAATGCTGGTGAAGAGGGCGAAGATGTCGAAGAAGACCTGCAAGCAGAGTCCTCTGCAATGGCAGCTGAACGTTCCCGCAAACGTAAACGCAATCAAGAAGAGGCCATAGCGAAGATAAAGAAAGGCAAGGCGGCCGAGAAAGCGTCAAAGAAAAAGAAGAAGGGCTCAGAGGACGATTCTGACTTTGAGGACGTCATGGATATGTACAAGAAGGCTAAGCCGCTTCCTGGACAGCTGGAGAACTGCGAGATTTGTAATAAGCGTTTTACCGTCACACCGTACAGCAAGGCGGGTCCAGAAGGTGGACTTCTTTGTACACCGTGTGGAAAAGAGATGGTGAAAGATGCAAAGGCAGAGAAGAAGGCAGCTAAGCCTGTCGTGCGCAAGGGCCGAAGGAAGATTGAGAGCAACCGCCTCGATGGTATGACTGTGCGCGGACCCAAGACGCTACAACAGCTGTGCATTGAGAAGCTCGCCAAACATTCCGAAGACATTGATGAATTGGGCGAGATGCCAGAGGGCATCATGAACCGAATCAGTGAAATCTTCTCGAAGAAGCGTGCGATGAACTCCACCACGATGAAGTTGTTCCTCCAGCCCGATATGCAGTCGGTTGCAATTCATGAGGCTGCATACCTCGAGACTGAGGATTACGATCAGATCTTTGCAGTTTGCCCATACGTTAAGCGTCTGTCTCTTCGCAACTGTTGCCAGTTCAAGGACAGCAATATTGACTACATGAACGAAAAGGCGAAGGCGCTTGAAGAGATCCAATTATTGGGTGCTAACCTTGTCTCCAACGACAAATGGGCTGAACTCTTCATCGCTCGAGGCCAAGATTTGAAGACACTAAAGGTGGAGTGGTTGGACGCCGCATTCGACGACCAGGTAGTAGAAGCACTTACCACTTTCTGTCCGAACCTTGAGCGTCTGAAGATTGAGCGTTGCAAGAAGATTGGGCCAGACAGCATCGACGCCATAGCTCATTTGAAGCACCTAAAGCACCTCACACTCCGCTTCTACGACCCCATCACCCGCGAGAAGCTCGTCCACTTGGTAAACTCCGTCGGCGCCAACCTCCGCACCCTATGCCTAGAGCACTTCCTCGACAACACAACAGATCCCACCGACGACGTCTTAGAGACCATCCACAACAAGTGCCACCAACTTAGCAAATTTCGCTTCACTGAAAACAACGAGTGCACCGACACTGGCTACGTCAATCTCTTCTCTAGCTGGGATAACCCGCCCCTCCACTACATCGACGTAAACTCCACTCGCGACATGGACAACTCCAACCCTGACGGCCCAGAGGATGAACCCATCGGCCTCGCTTCCAACGGCTTCCGCGCGCTGATGGCACATTCCGGCTCGCGCCTCGAGTTCCTAGACATATCTTCCTGCCGCCACATTTCCCACACGACCTTTACAGAAGTCTTTGACGGCACCAAACAATATCCTCATCTCCGCGAGATCAACTTGTCCTTCTGTCCCGTGGTTGATACGCAGATTGTCGCTGGTGTCTTCCGGTCGTGTCCTGCGATCAAGAAGGTGGTTACGTTTGGGTGCTTCCAGGTAAATGATGTGGTTGTGCCCAGGGGCATTGTGTTGATTGGAGCACCAAAGGCTCAGGATCAGATTGAGCAGTTTGGAGAGTTGGTGTTGGACTATCAGAAGGAGATTGAGGAGGAGAGGGGCCAGATGAGGGCGGCGGGGAGAATTATTCCTGTTGTTGGGTAGATGACATGTTTTGAAGTCGAGGGTCAATGGCGTGTATGGGCATGGCGTTATGGAAGAGGTATGGTGTTCATGGTCACACGACTGGATTTCAGGAGCAGTATTTCGATCATCTTGGGCGTTCTTCGCCTGTCTCAGTCGACATGATTTAGATGCATGTAGACTTCTCAACATGGGCATCTCTTGTAGCCTATTGCATTTGAGTTTCCATTCGCAAGATTTTTTGATATTGAGTATGCAAATGCTGACGCTGAACGCTGATAAATACGTTTACATCGTGTTCCTCATACGCGTCTCTTTTCCTTGCGCAGGCTGTCTGCGTGCTCAGTCCTTTGACATGGGCTATCGCACAAGCGCATGGCTTTGCATGTGCTCTCAAGTCCAACCCGCAACCTGAATACGACATGCCTTGTCGATTCCGTTCCCAGTATAGATATCATCCCTCTTTTGAACACCCCACTCATACCTTGCTCAGCCAAATCATAAACCCAAACTGCACCACATAACTGTAAACGAACAAGAACTGCGTCCTCCGGCTCTTCTGGCTCTTTGAATCCGTATATCCCGCTGCAGCGGGCGTTCCGTAGCTATTCTGAGAGCTGATATCGGGCAACAGCACATATCGCAAGCTCCTAAGCAAGAAGAACGAGTTTGCGCTGAAGCAATACAAGAATATGACCCAGCCGACCCACGAGCTACCAAATCCGATCCAAGTAGCCAAGTTGGTAAGAAGGAGCGATACAATGACGTGTACGAATTTATAGCCACTGTATGCGACGAGGTCGAGGAGCTGGCTTGAGCTGCTGATAGCGAGAAGGAAGGTGCCAGTTCGAATGATGAGGATTTCGAGCAAAGTCACGGCGATGGCAACGGTAGCCGTTGTGCCCAGGAGTTCGGGGTTGAAAGCGCCGCGCAGACCTGCAATAAAGGTTGAAAGCAGAATGTACGTCACCAGCGCCATGGTGGGAATATACATGTCTGGCGAATTCACATCTTCGCGCGGGGGCTGGTATAGTAGCGCAGCGGAGGCTGAGGGATCGGGCGCGTGTCGTTGTTGGCGCGACCAGGGGCGGTGCCACCATGGGATTAGGATGATGCGGAGTTTGGTGAGGACGTAGGAGTTTGTGACGTTGAAGTAGTGCTTTAGTGCGGATACGGAGACGAATCGTCCTAGCTGGGGGGCTGTCAGTACTTTGCCCATGCATCAGTGGGCAGGGTGCTATTGCATGCGGGTACATACGTTCTGTTCCATGTAGTGCTGTCCGGCATCGACTGCGCTCTTTCCCATCTGGAAGCCTAATTGGGCAGTGGGGTCGTTGATGAAGCCGCCGAAGGACGGGTGCACGCCATATCCGCCCTGCTGAGGCGGCATGCCTCCTGCTTGCTGTCCGTAACCATAGCCGCTTTGGGGTTGTGAAGGGGGTTGCGGAGGAGGCGGTGATCGTAGCTGGGGAACTGTGGAAACGTGTTGTGGAACTGGGTGATGTACTAACAGGAGTCAGTATATGTGATGCGTTGGAGAGGCGAACGAAGACATGACGATACGTACAGGGTGGTGAATGCGCCGGTGGTGGGTTGCCGTAGTTGGGGCGCTGCATGGTTGCGCGTCGCGGTGGCGGTAGTGGTTGGTGTAGCGAGTGTGGTTTTCAAGAATGAGTACAGGATGAAGGAGACACAGTTTGGAGATGCGCAATTGAACACGTCGCCGTGGTTGTTGTTGAATTTCTGCCTTGAGCTGCGGTGTCGTTGGCACCTCCGAATTCCGACCATCTGGCAAGAGGCGCGCACGGCCGTTCGTCATAAGCCCATCGCCCACATGTGCCCGCCGCACCACCACGTCTCCCTTTCGCAACACTTGCCCCGCCTTTCACCCTCGCCATGTTGGACACTTTTGAGATAGTGACCACTTCGGGTGTCGTCTTGTGGTCGCGCACCTACGTCCCGGTCGGCGCAAACGTCATCAACAGTTTAATACGAGATGTCTTCATCGAGGAGCGCATACAACCCCAGTCCGAGGATGCTGGCTCGAAGCCTACGTACAAGAAGGAGGGATACACGTTGAAATGGACGGCGGCAAAGGACCTCGGTCTCATCTTTGTGGTATGTCTTGATGTGCCACGACCAACAATGCGTGGCAGTCGAGTCACGGCGCATTGCAACATAGATATGTACAGTGGCTGACTTCTCCACAGGCGGTATACCAAAGCCTGGTTCACCTCACTTGGGTGGATAAACTGCTTGACAATGTGCGCGCGCTCTTCGTCGGCCTCTATGGCGAGCAGCTCAAGACGGAACACAGCAGTGTGGTCAACTGCGATAAATTCGGCACCTACTTCGACCGCCAGATGCACGACCTGGAAGGCGCGAGCGACTCTGGCGCACCAAGCATCAAGCTCACCACACCCGAATCGAGCACCGACAACGACAGCGCCGACGAAGCTGCACCCAAACCAGCCGCGCTACAGAAACCACAGCAGTCCTTGTACGATACGAGTGCCGATTCCACACCAGTGCCTACGCCAGATACTTCGCGGCCTAGCACACCTGGCCAAAGTCAGCTCCTGACAGGAAAGGCGAGGCCGTTCGGGGGCAAGATGTCACGGAGAGACAAGAAGAAGGCTTCGGCTTTCAGCTCGGCGCCAGTATCATCGGGCGACGAAGCATCAGCAAAGAAGAAGGGCAAGGGCTCAGCGAAAAAAGGCAGAGTGTGGGGTGAATTTGGCGCAGAAGAGCAGGACGACTCTGTGCTCGACTATTCGCAGTCAGATATTCAAGGCGATGCCTCTGGAAACGAAGCGCTCGAGGAGATTAGGCCAGAGACGTGGGGCCACAAGACGAACAGGGGCGAGTTTGTGCTCAAGGATCTCGACGAAGAAATGGACGAGATCATCGCAGCGCAGAATGCAAAGAAGGAGAAGGAGGCGCCCGCAGCATCTGGTGGACTCGTAGGATCCAGTTTGGGTGCAATTGGTGGACTCTTCAGGAACGTAGTGGGCGGCAAGACACTCACCAAGGAGGCACTGGCAAAGCCTCTGAAAGAAATGGAACAGCATCTTCTTCGCAAAAACGTAGCTCTCGAAGCAGCAGTACGATTGTGCGAAAGCGTCGAGCGGGATCTTGTGGGCATGAAGACTCCAAGCTTCACTAGTCAGTCAACTCATTTAATTATTACCAAGCATGTATACTGACTACTGCAACAGCAATTGAGACAACCCTCAAAGCCTCCATGGAGAAAGCCCTTACCAAGATGCTTACCCCAACATCCTCCCTCGACCTCCTTCGCGAGATCCAACACACCAACGCCACTACATCCCGCCCCTACGTACTTTCCATTGTCGGAGTAAACGGCGTTGGAAAATCAACAAACCTGTCCAAAATCGCTTTCTTCCTGCTCCAAAACCACCACCGCGTCCTGATCGCCGCAGCAGACACTTTCCGTTCTGGAGCCGTCGAACAGCTACGCGTCCACGTAGACCGATTAAAAGAGCTCTCACAAAGAGAAGGCGGACAAGTCGACCTCTTCGAGAAGGGCTACGGCAAAGACGCCGCAAACATTGCTGCCGACGCCGTTACCTTTGCTTCAAAGAACAGCTTCAACGTCGTTCTCATCGACACTGCCGGTCGCCGCCACAACGACCAACGCCTCATGTCTTCGCTGGAGAAATTCGGCAAATTGGCCAATCCAGACAAAATCCTCATGGTGGGTGAAGCCCTCGTCGGCACAGATTCAGTAGCCCAAGCAAGAAACTTTAACGCTTCTTTCGGCGCGGGCAGGAACCTCGATGGCTTTGTCATATCAAAATGCGATACTGTGGGAGACATGGTGGGGACGTTGGTGTCAATGGTGCATGCGACGGGTATTCCGGTCGTGTTTCTGGGTACTGGGCAGCATTATAGTGATTTGAGGACGTTGAATGTCGGCGCTGTCACGAGGTTGCTTATGAGCTGAGTGTGTAGCGGGGTGATAGAGGCTTGTATTATAGCGAGTGTAATGTCATTAATCGTGGAAGTTTATGCTACGCTATTGAGTGAGATCACTCCTGCAGAACAGCAAATCTGAGCCTATTGGGTTATCTAGCATACTCTGCCTCTAGCACCAAGGGGAAAGTTGGAAATAAGCTGATGGTGGGTAGCCCTTATCACACCTCAACAACGTACGAATTTCTTAAATCTAAAATTTTAGAAGTACTCGCAGCCTTGTGTTGTATCTGTCTACCTTTTCTTATTTTTTTATTACGACGTTGTAGTGCGTGGTTGGGGCAAGGAGGGTTAGTGTTCTGAATCTTACTTCCGACTTTCCCCTTAGTGCTAGAGTCTGCACCATTGGAAATGCTGCTCGAGGACCAATGAACACCCCAGTCAAAATGTCGATGCCCCTTGCCCCACCATCCATAAGGTTGGAGATGGATGGAAACTGCACCACATCGCTCGAACATCGGATTTACCTCTAGGAGTTCGTTGAGAAAACATTCGTAGCTCGCCTTAACCTGCTAAGAGCTAAGAGCTACTTGTCCTAAGCTGTTTGTGACCGTAGGTAAGCGAGGGCCTGCATCACCTCGTGATCTTATCCGTAGGTGGCAGCTGCGCTGCCTCATCGTGCTCGTTACCGTACTTCATCACTCAAACATGAGAGGAAGCGAGGATGTCGTCCGACGCTCCCCTATGCCAGATTTGCCGCCGCATCTTTCTACCCGAGATATTCAATGTCGAAGAAGAGTACTCTACAGCTGTGGTCGACTACGTTCGGTCAGACACATTACCAGATCTGCCAGTTTTACATGAAGAAGCCAACAAAGGCTGCCCTTTTTGCACTGAGCTGAAGAAGCGCATATCAGCACTTGAATGGCCAAAAGACGTTCGCGATGTCACGATTGGGCCCGCGACGTGGCTCCACGAATCGTTCTGGGAGTCAGAGCTCAGCCCGGAGCAGGAGGGTATCGTATTGCTGGAGGTGCAAGTATCCTGTCCAGTGACGCCACCACACACTCTCCACTTCGAGGTCTTTGCTCATGCAGGCTCGTTCGCGAGCACCCATATGAGAGTTAGACGACTACCTCCTTCGACAGACCGTTACTCTTCAGCGTGTATCGAGCGACTCCAGCAGATGATTTCGAAGTGCGCTGGGGTTCATTGGCAATGTGAGCCTGGAAACGAGGACTTTTGGCCGACGCGGGTCATCGACGTTGGTGCAGTAGATGAAACGGCTGATCCGAGACTGGTGGTCACCTCCAAGCCTGCTTCTCGATATGTTGCGCTTTCTCATTGCTGGGGCAAGCCTGGGCCTGGTGTTCGGATGCTGAAAACGCTGTCGACTAATATACAGTCGCATATGCTCGGTATTCCATTGGAGAGGTAAGCTTACTACGTGTACCATGGCAAGCTACCACTAACAGCGATTAGCATGCCACTGAACTTTCAGCACGCCATATTTGTCACCCGCGCGCTGGGATTGAGGTATATCTGGATAGACAGTTTGTGAGTCATGTCAACTGCACCCACGGTATCTGGGATTGTCACTGATCTCACACCTCTATGTTAGGTGCATTTTGCAAGATTCTAGTTTAGATTGGGCCAAGGAAGGGGCGCAGATGGATAAGGTGTACAGATCCGCGTTCGTGACCCTCGCAGCAACTTCAGCCTCTACAAGCGAGGATGGCTTCCTCGACTACATGCTTGCGGATAAAACTTTCACGATCCCGCTACCGTGCTATCCAGATAGACAGTTGGCCGTTGGGTCCCCCGACACTGTAGTGACCGAATCCATCGTCGCGCGGTACATGGAAGGGCGCGACACCCAACACATGGAGACAGATGTCGACGGATCGACTTGGAATGAACGCGCATGGACCTTGCAAGAACGACATCTAGCGAGGAGAATCATTCATTTCAGTGCAAACCAAATATTCTGGGAGTGCCGAAGAGGTTTTGCATCTGAGTGTGGCTATAGAATCATGCGACTACCGGTTTCGCTCACTCGAACATATGGCGCAGATAGCTCCTCGGAGAAATCCTCTGACGAGGACGTCGAAGATGCAGCTTCCCCCCTTGCAAGATCTGGATCGGAGATCAGTGAGCGTTTGTCAACCTCTGAGGGCAGCGATTCGGAATCAGATTCATGGGATCACACTCTGGCAACAAGGTCAGCCGTGTATTTCTGGTGGTTCCAGATTCTAGCCGATTACAGTCGGCGAAAGCTTACTTTCGCCTCCGACAAGTTCCCGGCAATCTCAGGTCTTGTAAAAGAACTCAATCATACCCTATTGACACAAGTCACCTACGAAGAAGATCAATACATCGCAGGGTTGTGGCTGGGTGCCCTGGCCGATTCACTCTTATGGGCACCCGAGCGTCCTGAAGCCATGACAGACCCCGCGGACCCTGGTGTTTATAGAGCCCCGAGCTGGTCGTGGGCCCGTTGGGACGGCGCAACCATTCCTTATTCTCGCGGTGGACGCTGGCCTGATATTCGTCCGGAGGATAGCACGATTGAATACATTGGGCACGACGTCGAGTTGGACACTTTGAATGAGTATGGGAGTATCAGGCTCGCTTTTCTGACACTCCGAGCTGGCATTGCGCAGATCGTACGCCAGAAGCG